TAACGCTATATTGCAGCGGCATCCGTTGTGCGTGTCGTAGTGTTTTGGAACCAGGTTCTCTGTGTTGTTTAGAAGGTTTGGGAAGACCCTTACATGTTTATACTTCGTCTTATAGAATGTCCTTACTGTTTTTCTGGTGTAACTCCTTAAGCACACACCCCACCCTGAACGCGACGCACCTTGTCTAGCATAGCTTTGTTCCCTTTACATAGTACAATATGTTCGTTCACTTCAAAGATACATCATTAATATCATTAATACTGACCTGATGATGGCAAATTGCGCTCTAATGAGAAATTCGGTCAGACGATTAGAGTAACCTAGGGGGCGTGGTTGTCTCACCACACGCGTCTTTCCTAATGAAATGGTGAGGAGAGCAAGAATATTAACTGAGCTCCGACTAAGATGAATATAGGGCCTCGTCGAATTCGATGTTGCGTTTTTGTGTTTCGGCTTCGTGAAACGATTTAAGCAAGCATCATTCCAAAGAGTCCGCAGAAGGAGCTCGCGTGATGTAGGTTTTGCGTGTCAAACTACAATCAGCTTCATGAGGAAGGGAAGACAGTTAATTAAGTGTGAGGTGGTGTCTCTTGAGACGCTTTCTTTCTTTCTGTACTACTGGTTCCATCGGAAACCTGCCTTTCGTGTGGAGAAGTCGTGAGAAACCAACTTGCAACGATTCTTCCGATGACACTTCATGAGTACCCTTGCTTCAAGCCTGATGAGGAGGATTGATTGTTGGCAACGATAAGTGGTAAAATCTGATAAAGAATGATAAGAGGATGTCAGGTGGATCAATCGGCTCGCTGAGTTCAATTAACCAAGCGTCTGCCGCGAAGCTGTTCGTGATTAACCAGCGATGAGGGTGTCATCAGTGTACCGCTTAATTCACACCACTCATGATGATTAAAAGCTGATCGTTCAAGGCTACCTGTAAACACATCATCGTAACTAATAATCCCAACCTACCTTTCACAGTGAGTCTTATTTTCCAGTTATGGGTTTGATGATGGGAACAGACTAAGTTTACGTCTACTGTACTTCACAAGAGCACTTCACGATCGTCAATAATAAACTTGAAAAAGTTGAAGAACTTGATGATGCGAGAGTTAGAGACATACTTAATCTTTCATCAGCACACATCGAAAAAATCAATATTTTGGTGCTCTACTCGTTCTACCTGCTTTAGTGCGCAATGCTAAAATTAAAGCTTCGTAGTTAAATGACCATTGCAGCCGAAGTCGTACTGCTTCAATTACTCTATAGATTACTTGACAACTTAATTGTTAGTCAAATATGGCAGAACATATTAAAGCAGCAGAGGATCCGTTGTAAAACCAAATGATCCGATCTGATGATACTCTATATGTAGGATCCATTGATATCGTCACAGTAAGAGTGCTTATCGACTAAATATCAAATGGGCGTACTCTACACTTACTAAGTATCCACTTACTAAAAATACTAGTAGAGAGCTTTACAGATAAGCCCTGACTAAGCTGTCTATCCGGCTTCGATGCTCAGTCTGCCACTCAAATGCCAAGTGACTCCTAGCAGAGTGACTACCCAAACTTTCCAGAAGATAGTTAAGGGTTGACATGCAAATCGAGAAGGCACTCATTACTCTTTAAAACAACTTGATACTGAGTAGTACGGAGAATCTTGGTACCGTATACGAATATGAAACAGTAGCACATAGAACTTTATTAATAATACACACATTCACACATCGCACACATACACCCTCTAAAAAAATTCCTGTGTTGCATTCAGTTTCTTAAAGAAATAGACAACCATGTATCGACAAATACCAGTACGACGGATATGTTCTACTTATAACTACTACATGTGTCACCGAGTTTTTCTTATTCGAAATGTCAACCGTTGGGGGGCATTATCTCATTGTCACAAAGACAACTGTCTGACACGAAATAATAACTGAGCAAATTGAATTTGGGGGGAAGACCGTAGAATACAGACATGTACATGGAAGACAGTACGATGACGTCAATACGCCTCTATATTGCTGTCAGCGCACCGAAATATGACAAGTACGCGTGCGGTCACGTAGCGTGTAAGAGATGACCGATGTGCTGACAACAATTACTGCTTAACGCAATCGTACTGTACCTCTCCTCTGACATTAATACGTCTGGGCAACGACGGTTGCATTGCTGGAGAGAGAGAGAGAAACAAGGATAGCTGGATCAGCAACAAACACATCTTCAAGGACAAGATACAAAAAAAAGCAATAAACGACGTCGGGATCGTACACAATCCATCTTCAGCTACGAACAAGATATTTACAGTAACCAGGCTAAATAACGTAACATGGCCTCAATCTGTATCATTTTTTTAAATGAGGCGTAATGACGTTCGTTTTTCGTCATTTATGGGAGCCGAAACAGCAGAGCGGGTTCACTGTCCTGTGGAGGATCATCAAGACGTCGGTATAGGTCGATTCTGTTCTGAGCGCTCATCGAGGTGTTTACGAACAGCGGTCGATCAATGGGAACTCGATCTGAATATTGAAACGAACTAATTTTGAACTGGTATGATTACTTTACTTTCAACTACAGTAGTAGTGATAAGTATAGTCTGGGGTTTTTTTTTCGCGACAAGTAAGTACTTCCATCAATACTTGAGTGGTACCGTTCTAAAACCACTAAAAAGCTTTCCATTGTGTAAATACGTGAAAGAATAAACTCTGATGTTTTTACATCAGTAAAACCTTTGGGTTGTGTGAACTGTACAAGGTGGTGCCGGGTCGCATAGTGCAGTACTCACAGCTGCGTGGGGAAAGTACATGCAACAAACAGACGACGTAAATTTGTGTACACGAAAAACACTTCCAATAGCCCAGACTTCCGCAAACAGAAAAGAATGTTTCTTCTACAAGCTTTTCCAATTGAAACTGCACTTTTTCGGTAGAAAAGTACGAGGATAACGCCTAGAATCTCAGGTTGAGAGATAACCTCATATTACCAGAGGTAAAAGGGACTGCTGAACTGGTATCCTTCGAAATCAGACATCCTACGTACAGCGAAGCGCCCCTGAGACACCAAAGCTTCGTGAACGAGTAAGTATGAAAAATTTACTTAAAATTATGATGAACTAGCGCTCAGTATTTATGGACTTGCATATTAGTAGGTGAAAACTTCAAAGCGCTCTGTTACCGAGAGCTATCTCTGCAACCACCGAAACATATTGCTACGCCCAGATCCCCTCTTTACGTCCCTCAACTGGTAATTGTTCCTGTGCCTTACCCAGAATCCCTAACGATGTCAGGAAGCCAGCAAAACCTGGAGCATGCGCGTTCTAACCCTCTGAAAGGGCTTATTATAGTGTCCCGAGAAGCACAGCCCCTTAAGAATCGATCGAGCCCTCACAAAAGAGGCTTTTGCAGAACAGGAACAATCCTGAATTCTTCACATGAAACGGGAATTCATCAGTAGTCATGGCATTTGTTTGTCTAATTTGTATTTTAGAGTCAATTGTTCAATTGTACCTAAGCGTTGCCAAGTTAATGGCTGGCCATAAAGGTACACCGGGAAGAAAGTTTTTGTTTTTGAAGCGATTCAGTCTTGTAAGGGCCAGGAATGATGGAATGAAGATTTTGAATGCAAGGGAGCTTCATCTGCCTTTTGAATCAGCTTGTTTTTTTTATTTTATTCTGTTTTCTTCGACTGCGAGCTCCAAAAACGATCACTCTACTGCAGACCGTTTCGTCGCGCGATGTTTCGCACGCGGCAAGTTCGGACACCGTCGCATCAGAACCTAACGACATTCAGAGCCTTACTTGGACATTTCAGAAAATTTTCTTTTTCAAGACAATGCTGCTTCTCAAAAAAGGAAGATCGTTTTTAGGTTGAAACGGTTCCTCTCGAAATGCGGGAGGTTTCTGAAAGGGTTGTCAGGATTGGAATTCCATTTTGGTGGCGTGCCAATTTTTTCAAATTGCATCTATGTGAAGGATTCGTATGATATTTCTCTGAGTCTAAATTTGGCAGCTATGCGTAAACGCACTGCGCATGTTTGACGCATTCTAAACTTTTATTTCTGCTTAATTACCCCCATAGATATGAAGTTTAATAGTACGGAAAAAGTCATGGAAAACTGAAAGGCAGCGAACGTTTCCCATGCCGATGTAATGACCGAATATTATTGAGCTTTGTTCTTTTCGTGCAATTACATTTACACGATACGCTCATGGCGGTCATTCTACTTCTCCCCCATCCACCTAGCTTTCTCCTACTCTCATTCACAACCCCGACTCTCGCCATACATTCATCGTAGACAACGCTATAATTGCTTTCTTATCGTCGCAGACATTTTCGATTCACTCAAATTCATACCAACGGGAAAAGGGAAGTGATACGACGACCACGACAGAGGGGAGACGAAAGAGCGTAATTCGTCTGCTACAGGCCAATCCCCTGAATTGGGTAGAAGCGCTTTTTTGTACCACCATTTTAAGGTTTGGGGCGTTTTTCTACAGATGTTACGTTTCGGTCGTGGTCAGTGTGTTTCTTTGGGGCTGAACTGCTGGGCGCGTAATTTATGGAAAAGACGAGCGCGGAACGAAAACTGCTGAAAAACATATGCCGGCTCACCTTGACCGTTTTGTAAGAACGATGACATATTCGATCCGACGCTTGGTGTATTCTAAACGAGAAATGTTTTGAACAATCATTGACAAAATCTATTTTAAGCGTTATAAACAAGTGAGCGCTTCCCGAACAACACCCCCNGGCAGTCGCTGACTAAAAACTCATTCGAGTATAAACTTAGGCTGAGCGCAACTAATTCGCTTACCTCATTACGTTGAATATTCATGGATGTGTTGATACCGAGAGGTTGTATGGAGCCTCGAAGCACCTCGGCCGATGACATTTTGGAATCTGAAAGATACGTCTTTGCACTTTCAATATATGCCGACGACGCCCACCAAGCGATCATTGCACTTTTAGAAATAAACAATGAAGGGTGAGAAAAATACCGTATAATGAATACATTTACTTTACAATCATTGAATGTAGCCCTTTTATAAATAGATGTTAGTCACAAGGCTGCAATGGTCACAAGTTTCAAACAAGTTTTCCAGTTATGGCCAGAATTGGGAAGCGGTTAGAACTTCAAGAGCAGATCTCTTCGATTAGGCAAAGGTAACAGATAAGGTTGTAAAAGTGTCTAAATAACCACCCAATTGAAGGGTCACAAGTTTAGGAGTGGGAGAAGAGATGGCTGATGGAGACATCGAGAAAATGGCCGGAAAACTGTGCATTTGTAGATAATAGAGAATGAAATGACGAAAAGATGACCAGGTGACTTTATATAGGCAGATGCCGAGGATGATGAAATCACGAGTCGCCCAGAAGGGGTCGACAAGTTCTACGACCGCTGATCATGGACACCGCCCTAGCAGCTGGTGATATCGCCAGTCGTCGTAGCCACTTCTCGGGATAGCAGGTGAATTATCGTTTCCAAAATGAAATTTGAAGTAAACACTTCTGCAATGTGCAGATTTAACGAGCGGGGCAGGGCAAGAAGGCGGATCGGACGGTAGGCGGAGAGTCTGACGTGTGTGGGCTCGTGGCGAGATGGTCCAGCCTCCTCGTCGAAGGACGTTGGTCGACGACGGGCTGACTGGTTGACTGGCCAATTTACGAGTTATCAGGCAAACTATGCGTAGTATGCATGCTTCGAGACGTATGATAAGGTTGCTTGTGACAAGCGGCGAATTTAATGGTAACAGGGAATGCTGGACAGGCCCAAAGCGATGCTGGGTCTCTCTCACAAAGGTTAAGATGGCTCAAATATAAAGCAGTATGCGAGAATGACGGTTTAGAAGAAAAAGAAGAAAGTACTCGAATAATATACAATATGAAATTATAGAAAATAGCTGGGAATTAGCGAAGTATGTAATCAAGTATTCAAAGAAGTGACCTGATCAAAGCAGGGTCCCGACGAACCTATTCCCAATATGCCCCTTTCTATCAAAGAAGGCCTCCTCTCGGTAATGGCGGGCATATCCTACTCCTTTGGCAAACTTTGAACAAAATGAAACCAAAAAAAGAAGCGAAAGGATCAATACTGGTTAGACTGAGTGAGTAAAGGCCCTTCAATTCTCGGGTTTTACTTTGATGGAGCCACTCTCTGGTATACCAAAAAGAAAGTGTGGAGCAAAATAAAGTATGAAAACAGCTGATAAGCATACGACGGAAACAGAAATTTCATAGACCGACGTCATCATACACCAGTACTCACAGTCTCTGCCCTATGCCCTTTACATCTTGCCCTGTGCCTCTTGATTAACAGTTGAGAAGATTCAATCCCTGCAACGGAACCGAATAATCTCCTGAAGAGGCTTCTTGCAAGGGAATGTGGTCGAAACCAATTACCGGAAACCATAACGAACAAAAACAGAAACCACTGCTATATTTTTGGCCGAAAACCCATGACCCAAGTGGGAGGGCGATTTTCCAGAACGGAGAAAGGTAAAAATTTGGAATATTAGACTGCACAAAGGGTGAATGGCTTGAATTATATTATCATGAAGCGCGCCAGATGGCGACTTCAAGCTACTCCGTTCCCTACTCTATCCACTCTATCCAAAGCTTAAACAGTTGTAGAAGTGGTTAACAACAATGGTAAGTCCATCTCGAATTTACTTCCCAGCAACAAAGCAATATTGCCAGCTAAACAAATAGGTTTTTAAGTAAGCTATCTCGGGTAGAATTTGCTCTGGTTGTGGCTTGGACGGCAATTTAGTGAGCTTCATTAAATACTGAAAGCTCTACAACAAAAACTAAGGGCTAAGACCCGTCGACATGTGGAAGTAACGTTCGCTTAGAGCGTTCAGAGATCACCGCGGAACAATCGCGGCTGCCGTCGACGGTACGCCTGCGGACACGCGCGCGTTGACAGCACGGAACTGGCGACCGCCGCCTTTGCGTGAGTGTATGCCTATGTCTATCAGCGTGTATGCGTGTGTATGTATGTGGCCACCTCGCAAACAACAAAGTGCATTCGGCCCAACAGCTTCACAGCAGCTGGCCGAGCACGAACGAAGTGAATAGAAGAAAAGGCGAGCGGATGTGGATATTCGAACAAGCTTCACATCACATTCATGCACGGCATTCAACTCAATTTTCATTTCATTTCATCAGAGCCACTTCTATGGGCCATAACCAATATAGAGGCTGTTCAACCAGACATAATCAGAGGCCATACCGGACTACAATGAGTGCTCAGAAACCAAATTTAATTTTTCGGGAAAAGCTTGGCTCTCAACCAGCAGCGACAAGCTCGCCTTTGATGCCATCTAACAAGTAATTATGGACAAATAATTCATCCATTCCCACGATGTTCTCTTAAATTAAAGAGAACACATAGGCACATCTGATTTTGTTCCCTGAATAATTTATCTACACTTCAAAGCCCACAGTTCGACCCAGAGAAGATAAGGACGGAGGAGTCCAAACGTTAAAAAGGGATTTTAAAATGTACGCAGCTGAAAACAAGCCATTTCAAACGTAAATAAGTAAGAGTAAACCTCAGTTGCGAAAAAGTTTCAAACGTTTCTCTCTTTCCGAAAGAGAAGGCAATCAAGGTGTTCCATTGGATCGTTCCCCTCTACACAACTTTTTTTGGGATCTTGCAATGGAAAATGAGTAGACTTTACTAGGTATAACCAACTGAATCCAAACTGTAACTGGAATGTTGCCTCCACTACGAAAATTGATATGAACACGGGCCGTTATCAGAGGGTCTCTAAGCAAACAGAGGGTAACAAAATTGCTCGAAAGATTGGCAGCGTGCCAAAGCGGAATGGCCCGTAACGTGGAACAATTTTTACACGTTACAGTAATCTGTAACATTGAACCCTTCAAGTAGACGATTTTGTGTCCTTTATCAAGAAATCGTGCACCTTTCTGCACAGAAATCTCGGTCTGCTGTTGCAGCGGGCGTTCTTTTTTTATCGGACGTCGGTGAAACCTGTTCAGTTGACATCAAAGGGCATTTTCTGGCATGAAAAAACGGGCGTTGACCAGGAGTTGGGTGATTCGCAGGATCCTTAGCCTAGGCACTTCCGGTGGGTCTCTGAGCTGGTGAAGTGGTTCGCAGAAATGAGGGCGCTATCGAGATGGGCTCAGTATCGCGTTGGATGGGAAGTAGGTGAGGGCCCATGACAATGGCCCAACTAATAGAATGAGAAGTGAATATTTCGAAATTCGCCCACCTCATCGAATCCGCCCAGTTTGATTGAATAGCC